ACCTCTTAGAATTTAAAATAATTTTTAGTTACAATTTTTAATTAAGCTATGCAGTTTTCGATAAACATATGCCTTTGTAGGAATTTTTGCGAAATTTTTCCTAATTTTAGAAATACGAAAAAAACAGCAAAAAGGAGTATACTCCAAGGTACCGCAAGCCCAAGGTACCGCAGAGCTATAAATTCGTTCAAAATTGCCAAATCCGGGACGACCTTGGTATGTCTCAGGACACCCTGGTATGTCACCCTGGCTTGTCTCGATTGTCGAATCCAGAGCATCTCGGATTCGACAATTTTGAACAAGTTATTGCTTGAGATACCTTAGGCCTGCGGTACCGTGCCTGCTCTCAGCAAAAAGTACATGCTTGTTTGATAATTTAGAATTTTTTAAATTCGATTGAGTAATTTTAAAAAATTTCATTTCACCATTTATCCAACTTAATCTAATATTTTTTAGCAGAATTTTATAAAATTTAGCCTAACTCATTCCTGAGTTAAACAATTTTTTCAACTGCGGCAGCACTTTAAAAATATTTTCTCAAAATTAAAAAATTTATTAAAAATGTCCTCTTCAAATATCACAAATTTAAACTGTTTATTCATTGAAAATCTTTTGTTAAATCCCCTTTTCGGATTAATTACTTGGTTCCAATTAATTATTTTATTTATTTTGTTCACCTCTTCTGCAGTGCTTTTTCGCCAATTTAGCAAAGCTAAAATACCTTTACATTCAAATTTGACGGTAATTTAATTTAATAAATTTGATTATTTTTAATTATATTTTAAAGCTGTTAGTATTTAATGCTATTATATTTTATTTAATTAATGCGTCGTTCTGGGCAGCTAATATAATTCGCTACAAGGTGAATTATTCAAAATTTTTGTAAAGTATATTTTTGGAGTTGATTAGTAAGGGAAAAATATTGGAGGAAACAATTAAAAATTAATTAAAAATGTCGTTGAGAATAGAACGGATTATAGTAATTAAGTGCTTCGTTAACTCAGACGGTAGAGCATAAATTATGTATTAGTGAGCGAGGCACAATAACTCATGGGAGATCGCAGGATTCCAGGAAGATCCTACAACTCTCTCTTACTTTATGGTAGAAAATGAATTATTTGCCCTAGCGAAAACCTAGTTCTCAATTTTCGAAATAATCGAAATAATCAAGGTTTTATTAATTGAATCTCGATTTCAACTACTTGCTTTTAGACCGAGTCCTTGTCTCAGTTCTATCCTTAATTGGCAGCTACTAGGGAATCCTCATCTTTAGATTAAAACATATGTAAATCTTGGCTGCAGCTACTGGGGAATCCTCATCCAGAACTTATCTGTGATTAAAATTTTAATTCAATCCTGGCTGTCGAGATTCCCAACGGTTTATACACCTAGTTGAGTATCTCGGCTGATATAAGTACTTAACTTTCGACATTAATAAACAAAATTTTAAGATATTAGTTTATACATATTCTGATAATTGCAATTTATTAACGCCTGTTTGGCTTGCCGTCGTTCTAATTGCTCCAAATTATTTTTATTTAATCGCAAATACTTGCATTCATTTTTTGATTATGTTGGAGCGTGTTCGTGCAACTATTTTTGTTAGGAATTATGAAACGGAAGGAATAAAATTTACTGCTGTAGGAATTATTTTTGTGGTACTATTTTTGTTCTTAGTTCCAATATCCTCTATAAGACAGCCCAGTAGATACCCCTTAGTTTAAGTTAGCTGTTTAATCATACCTCTATTTAATAACACCCCATAAAAGACCTCAATATAAGACGGCCCCCTAGATACCTTTTGTTCTAGATAGGCTGAAAAAATTCAAAGGCTGAAAATTTTGCATGACTCAAGATCAAGACATGACTACACCCCAAAACTAAGAGCGAAAAAACCCCAAGAAGTGTCTTGAGTCAAGACATAAGATCAAGAGTCTTGACAGCTCTACGACTTTATTATAGATACACCTCATTTTAAGAAAGATGATTTGAAATTTAGCAAATGACTAGGCGAAGGGGATGTTTAAGTAATATTTTTGTTTAAGGTAAACTTTATTACAAGCTAATATATTTCATACTTAAGAGTTTATCTTACCTATAGTAAGGTCCAACTTTCTGTCCTCACCTAATTTTAAAAATAAATTCTTCAATTATTTTTTAGTGGTTTTTATCAATTAGCTACACAATTTATATAATTTGTTCGGCCCTAGTTGATACTGACGCTTTTGGTCAACCCTTGGGTATTGTAGCATTAACCTCCAAATATAATGCAACAATAATTCTTTATTCTTTTTATGCTACACTATTTATATGTGTTGTTATTACTTTTTGTGATTTTTTGGTTTATCGGGCTAATAAAAGGATTAGAAGGAAGTAAGTCGAGTGTGAGAATTTTTATTGTTGGTTTAGATTATCCAATTAGTTTAATACCATTATAATACCATTGGGACATATCCTTATCCTTCCTGCTCCAAACATTTATACCTCAATATCATATACCGTAATTTCTTATAATTACCCTTGGTGATTTTTTTCGACCTTTCGATAGACGGATAATTAAAGATAGGGTGTAATTATTAAAGTTTATTTTAGAAATAATAATTATAACTACCTATTTCTAAGATGGATTATTATAAGGAGGCTTGAAATATAAGGAGGAAAAAAAAATATAAAAAAAATATAATAAGGAGGCTTGAAACGAAACCTAATCCGAATAAAATATTGAAACTCGGCTTGAGTTTTTCCTCAAACCTTGACATCCCTGACTTGAATGCGGCTATATCCTTGTGTCATAAGCGGGAGTCAAGTTCAACTCATATATTCTAAACTTTATTTTCTAGAAGTAGATGTGAAAATCCAGATATGACCTCAACATACTCATTAAGTGCTAATTACCAGTTGAGAGAAAATATTTTTTCAATGAGACTGATTTTGCCATTAGATGCGGCATACACTATCTTCAATGGAATTTATATGACTGGAGCTGCTATATTAAGAATACACCGTAATGAAATGTATGTAGAGCAGTATACAAGCATCTACTATGTTTTTATGACGGTGAATAAAAAAATTTTTTATAAAAGTTTGGAGTCGAGATAGAAATTGGATAGGAATTGAAAAGGATTCAGTATCTGAAAATTTTATTTTTAATCGAGCTCCAGGGGTTGTATTATACTAAAATCGAGGGAGGGGTACTTGGTTAATCTACCAGGTTCCGCTAATAGATCCACGATCTCTGAGGGTTAACCTTCATTACAAAAAAAATCGACCCAGAACTCGATGATTAACCTTAGCTCTTACCTCGAGGTTAGCTCTTGGTTAGCTCTTACCTCGATTTTATAATTCGCCTTAAGTTATCGTTAAATTCATTATTTATCGTTAAATTTAAACACACTTTGTGAACCAAAATTTATTTTTATTTTTTTGTGTCCGATACAAAATAAGTTTAAGAATTTTTTCTGTAATTGTAGTTTAAGCTTCATTTTTTAAATTTTTTCATTGAATTAATTTTAACTTATTTCCATGGATACAAGAAAATAAAACAATAAATAGAAATAATAAATTTTTCTAGTTTCCACTTCTACATTCAGCCATAACATTGTTAATTTATATTTGTTTTGTGAGACGAATTAGAGAGAAAAGAATTTTAAAAATACAACCATTAGATAGATCTGGACAGTTATATTTTAACGAATTGAGGAAACAATGGAACACAAAATAAAATTTGGATTTTTAACTCTAATATATGTATTTAAATTTATTTATTTTTCATTCTCTGTGGATATTCGTTATCAAACTTAATAAATCGGAACAAAATTAAAAGATCAATCACCCTGGGAAGGCATTTTTAGCCTACCGCTGGGGCGGTTAATTAATCTGGGAAAGGTAGTAGATTTATAGTAAATTTATTATTCAATTTTTTCGTTTAACTTTGATTAATTATTAAGGTAGAAGGTAATACATATCTCCCTAGATTTAAAAAAAATTTCCGATTTTCCTTTGGAATTTTTTGAATTTACTTTAAAATACGACATAGAAAAAATTTTCTTTTGAATATCCTTCATAAATCGAGGGGAAATAATTTTTGAGGAGCAAGGGAAAATTCCCCAAAATTCTTTTATTTGCCTTTGATAATGTTAATGAGTGCACCACATGAAGAATTGAGGAGAAAGAAAATTTGCTCATTTCTTTTGAAGATGGATCAACCGAAATTGCCATACTCCATATTTTAAACCAAAATATTCTCCCTCAAATTTTCCCATATTTTAATTATAATTTATCTGTCTATTGATAAAGGGAAGTTTGGAAAAAATTTAAAACTTCGCCCCGCCCACTTTGAATGCCAAATATGTATAAAGAAGGTATGTATAAGTGCCTCCTATTGAATTATTTTACTATTCATTTTTTAATTTATACAATTTCTAAATTTTAGAAAACAATGTCTCTCTTTAATCTATAATAATTTTTGATTTTTTTTTGAAATTTATTCGTAAAACTTGGATTAATTTCCCTTTGATTTAAGTTTATAAAAAAAAAAGTCTCTTTTTAAGACACCCCCCAAAGTCTCTCTTTAAGAGCCTTTTACCCCCCCCCCCCCCTTAAAAGATCAAAATGGCAACTTATTAATGTCCTGTACCACTGGATATGGAAATACACTAAAAGATAACGAAAACTCAAAATTCTCGACTTATCAATAAAAACTCGAGGATAGATAAGGTTCCAAAAATGCCTTTATTTAAAAATTTAGTTTTTATCAATTTGTCAAAAATTCTGATTTTTTGGAATATTGTAGTTTATTTAATTTTTCCAGTGATGAACCGTACATTTTGTTAACTATAATATGCACTAGACATTTTGTCGCGAGCTACATAATCACTTTTAATCTTACTGTATTTTCCCCAAGTCTCAATACCCAAATTCGCTATATTAAAGAAATTTCTTCTAATCTACATAAATTTTTTTTATTTTTAGTTGAAATTTTTCTTGTTAAATTCTAAGATATGAACGGAACTGAAGAAGATTCGTTTGATTTTCCTGAATTTTTAGAAAAGGAGAATTGTTTACCAGCTTTCAATTCTTCAACAACTTCATCTGTTTTTGGAGTATTTTTGAACTTTTTTAAAAATAATAACCTTCCCTCTTATTCAGTCTCTGACAAGATCCACTTTGTTCCAAAGCACTTCTCAACATTTAATTGAGAAAATGCAAAAACCTGAATATTTGAAATGGTACCATTTCTTTTCGATTTTTATAAAATTTATTTTTAAAAAGCTCCCATTACCTACATAATCGTGGAAATTATCCTATTTCTCCAATTGCGGAAGAATTTCGAAAAGATTTGGATAAACTCGTCTCGTATGTGGATGAATTAAGTGTAGTGTTAAGCGAAGAAATTATTCAAAATTTGGCTATACCATTAATAAATTTGTCCGATGTAAAAAATTATTTTATTTTTTTTTAAATTTTTTCAAAGAATTTTGAACGGCAACAAAACGAATTAAATGTAAATTGGGAAGAACTCCTTTTAGAGAAGGCAAAAATCGCAAAAATTCGGTGTTCTCTTCAATCTGATGAATATAAAGCAAAGGCAGGAAAGGCTTCTGATAGAGTAAAAGAGTTGGAACTAGAGGTCTAGTTAGATTTTGTTGGTACATATTTCCTCCCTCCCCGTTCCGCAATTTAGTAAAAGTACAAAATGGTCAGTCAATTTTTCCTTCCATAATTTAGAAAAATGTGATTGTGGTCACATTCGTTCAATCACTCTTCAATTCCTTCACACATTTTGCCCTTATCTGTAAATGACTAGACAAATCGATGTTTATTTTTTATATTTTAATACGGTTACAATGAAAAAGTAGAATTATTGAAGGAAGGGTGACTGAATGAATGTGACTACAATTTTTGGTACTACTGAAGAAAAGGGTGCTATTTCTGCGGACTTATTTTGCGGACTTTTCCTTTCCTTTACATGTTTTACTTGTAGCAACTAACTGTCAAAGGCCCTCCACCCTATTATTTTTCTTACCTAAGATTGTACATAAAGGTCAAATTTTCTTCTTCCCCTCCTTCCTCTATTTGCCCTGTGGCATATTCAAACAAGAGACATTGATAAAGAGAAGATTAATTTTATAGTCATACACTTATTTTTTGCCTCCGAAAACGATGTTAAACAAAAAAAGAATTAAATAAAATTGATTTAGTCTATAACATTATGAATTTCTGTGTAAAAACATTACATTCTTACTTATATTTAAAACTAATTTAACAACTGAAAAAAAATTGAACTCAATATTGAACAACTCAATTAATTTTATTATTCTCTTTAACAATGTTTCTGGTTTGATATGCCAAGCTCAGATAGAGGAAAGAGAGGAAGAAGGAAATCTGACCATTTTGTACAATCTTAGGTAATAAAAATAATGGAGGGGGGGACAAGGTTTGAAATTACCCGCATTTTGATCCACAATCACATATTCTTTTTCTATGAAGCATTCCGAGATCAGTGATCCATAGTTGAAATTCATTCATCATCGTTTATAATGTTCAAATTAATGGTGAACACAAATTTTTCAAATTGGCATAAAAATTAATCCTTTGACAGTTAGTTGCTACAAGCAAAAGAACCAAAACATTAAAAAAGAAAGAAAGGAAAAGTCCGCAAAATAAGTCCGCAGAAAAAGCACCCTTTTCTTCAGTAGTACCCAATTTTTCTAAATTATGGAAGGAAAAATTGACTGACCATTTCGTACTTTTACTAAATTGCGGACTGTCGGGGAAGAGGAAATAAGTACCAAGTTCGTTTAAATTATTACATTTATTTAAAGCTAATACATGCACAAATAAAAAAATTGGAAGGAGAAGTCAATGCCATTGCAAAATCATCTAAGGAGGAAAATACAAAAATTAATGGTTTTAGTGAAATTTTGGATAGTTCTGAGGTTTTTAAGGGAATTTTACTTTGAAAAATTTATATTTTTGAATTTTAGAGCGAGGATTCCTGTTCACAATTCGTTGATGAGCCTTTAAAATTGGTTCCTTCTAACACCTGTTCGACATTTGATGACACGGATACCTCATTAAATGAGCGATTTGAATTACCTTTAGAAATGGTTTATTTATGCTTTTTAAATTTTTTTTATTATTTTTTAGAAGGTTTATATGTTTCACAAATTTACTGAACGTGGCGTAGAATTTTTTTTACTGATGGAAAGGAAAAACTTGTTGTTACTGAACTTCGTGGATGTAACGATCCGTTTTGCCTATTATATGAATATTTGAATTCATCAATTTGTGGAGATGAATATTCAGACAAGTCAAAATCAAAAAAATTTCGTTGGACATGTCGATTGCCAAGATATAATCTTGTAAACAAGATTGTAAACATGATTGAGGCAATGTTTTTTTTTTCATTAAGTTTTTAAGGGTTTTACAATAGATTGAACTTTAATTGCTTCCCATCCTTTTATGAATTTAATTATATGTATATTCTCCTGGCGGCTAACTAGATCAAAAGACGATTAAATTTAGTAAAAATTTGAAAATAAATTTCATTATTTTTTAAGATTAGTTTTCTTCACGAATCTATTGAAATATTCACACCGCAAGGAAATTATATTCGTTTTTCTTCTGATGGTGAATTAAGTGTAATTTGGAGATGCAATGATAAAACAGTGATACGACCAGACGGTAACAGATATGAATATTATGGGTTAGAACTCGAAGAAATGTTTGTTTTTATTTTTTTATTTTAAAATTTTTCGTTTAAAGTTACCTTGCTTCTGGAGAAGCTTATCGTTCATCTGCTTCCAAAAAATGGCGTCAAGAAAAATTTTCTCCTAATTTGGATAAAATGAGTGAACGTCAAGATGGCTCTTATTCAGCTTTACACCAAGTGGTATATGATTTTTATGAGCAAATATTATCGATTGTAAAAATAATTGGCTCTGGTCTAGTTTATGCTTCAATGAAAAGTCTATGAGTCCAAATAAACTTTCATTAGGGGTGCCGGAAAATTGGGCTCCAGGATTTTTCGGAAAGTTGGGCCTTTTTGGAAAATGGGCTCCAGCGGAATTTTAGGCTCTAAGTGAGAAAAACTGAGAATTGGGCTCTAGATTTTTAGGCGCGGTGCATTGTGGGTGTCGGAATGGATCTATAGATTTATTCGAGAATAACACGAAATAAAACACGTAAACCTATGGGCGTCGGCGAGGCGCTTGTGCAAAATCCTTGCAAATCCTTGCAAAACTTTAAAAAATTGGTATATTTGTCTCTCCCAAGAATTTTTTATTAAAATTTTTATTTTCTAATTTATTTTGCAACGGCAGATTCACAATAAATCTACTTCAAATTGTTCTGAAGATGCTTTTTTACAAATAAATGCAACAGACTTTAAGGTTTATCTCCTGTTTTAATCTTTTCTCTAAAATATTTTTTTAAAGCTTCGTCGTTTTAATTCAACAAAAGCAGTTAAAATCTTAATACCGGTAGAATCTTCTATTGCTGGTTCCAGTGTCGAAATTTGGCTTTGTGTTGGTAACGCTCTTATGGTTAAACACGTTCGTACGGAGAAGGGAATTTGCGGGCAAAAAAAGCATGGTAAATTTTGGTTGAAGGGGAATGTATTTCGTTTGAAAAATTGGTAGTTCTTCGGTTCGTCCCCACACACCTTTTTCCTTCCTCAAAGTATTAAAAAATGGTCAGTCAGTCTTATGTTATAAAACTTGTTGAGCTGTGTCGAATGACACCAAAATCAACCATCGGTCTTAACTTTGGGCCGAGATACAGACCCCTGAAAATTGAACAACCATCGGGGCGATTTTTTGGAATGAAAAAATTTTATGCAAATGACAACTCATTTGAAAGAGCTCGTCGATGGCATTAATTAGACCTAACAAAATCGGCGACTTATGGCATAACTGTCAAATCCTGTCCAATCACGTTGATTTTAGTGTCATTCGACTCAACACGACGAGCTCTTTCGAATGAGCTATCATTTGCATAAATTTACGTGCCCATGGTTTTACGCCCCTATGGTTGTTCAATTTTCAGGGGTCCGTATCTTGGTCAAATCATGTTGGATTTTTTTGATTTTGATGTCATTCGACACAGCTCCACGAGCTCTATAACATATGCCCATTTTTTAATACTTTGAGGAAGGAAAAAGGAGTGGGGGGGGGGACGAACCGAAGAATTACCGAAAAATTCACCAAATATTAAATATGTATCCTAAAAAATATAGGCGGTCTAAAGGTTTATACAAGTTTTGGTACAAAAAAATTTTGAGTTTCAAAATTAAAATATTTTTTATAATTTCCGTAATCAGTTATATTCCTAAACAAGAGCCACAATATTTTAAATTTTATTTTTTAAAGATAAATTTGTTTGTTTTTCTCGTGGCAAATTTGGACATACTAGAACACTACCAACAGATGGATGAATTACTTAATGAACAATGCCTTTAAAATGGATTTCTCTCAGTTCTCGTTTGAAATTATTTTTTTTATGTTTTATTACTAAGAACTCTTGCCCTTTACCACCATGGAATGTTCCTATTTATTCTCTAATTTATTTAATTGAATAAATCTCGTTAATTTAATTATTTTGAATTTTATTTTATTTGTTTTTTAATTTTCAACATGTATATTAAAAATATTATGTTTTTTAATTTATTTTTCTTTTTATGAACTTGGAAGTAATCAACTTTAAAAACCGCCTCTGAATTTTATTTTCAAAAATGGCTTCAAATAATTTTTCGAGCAATTTCACTTCTGAACAAACATCTGAGAAAACAGGAAAACCCGAGCAATTTAAAAGGTTTTTTTCTTTTTGAATTTTTTAAAATTCATTTATAAAGTTCTCGTCGAGAAATATCAAGTTTAATGAAAGAGAAGCAGCCTCAACAACTAGTACCTACAACAATCCAACCTCCTATTCTACGACGAAATAATTCTCTCAGCTCGTTGTTAACTAGTGAGAACCGCCAGCAATCGAATAGTCTGAAAAATCGATCAAAGAATAATGGACAAAATTTTAAGGTTTTCTTTAGATATTTTTTTCTGAAACCTGGCTTGATTTTTATTTCTGAACGCCAGAATTTGCACTTCACGGGTTTTATGCCCCTTCCCTTTTGAGAATTGGTGTTTATTTTAGAATGAAAAAATATCAAGAATGATCCGATCTAAATTTTAACTTAAAGAATTATGATTCTTCGTCAATTTGTGATGCGGGTTCAACTTCAACTAGCCATCCAATTATTCGTCGTAATTCTTCTTCCTATTTCCAGTTTGCCGATGAATTGACAGCTTCCCGTACCAATAAGGGACATAATAAACAATTTTCTTTAAATCAACAATACAACATACCTTCTGATATGGTTTATTTTAAAATTTATTCATTACCTTTTTTAAAGTTGTTTTTGAATTATGAAAATACTACAAGAGGTAAAGAAATAAAGTTTGGTAATCAAAAGAAAGAAATCCTTGTTGTTGAACCTTGTGTATGCAAAACACAGAATTGCCTTTTATATGAATATTTAAACAAATCAATTGCTAAAAATGAACATTCACACAAGTCTAACTCAAAAAAATTTCGTTGGATAAGCGAGCCTCGATCTTCAAAATCTGATTCTGATGTAAACAAGATTGAGGTATTGTTTTCATTTATATTTAACAGTTTTAAAGATTTGTTTATAATATCAAAAGATTGAAATACCAAACCGTGGATAACCCCAAAAATCCCTCGAAATACCAAATGTGAAAACCAAACACGGCGGCTGTTGTTCCAACGACGGGGGATGTTGTTCTAACGAAGGTGATGTTGTTCCGACTTTTATAGTTTTTATTTATTTGGTAATTCAAGTTTTTTTCCACGGTGTGGTATTTTAACAATATTTAGGGGTTTGATATTTCAAGCTTTTGGTATTATAACACGTTACCAATTTTTTAATATATTCTCCTGGCGGCTAACTAGATCAAAAGACGATTAAATTTAGTAAAAATTTGAAAATAAATTTCATTATTTTTTAAGATTAGTTTTCTTCAAGAATCTATTGAAATATTCACACCGCAAGGAAATTATATTCGTTTTTCTTCTGATGGTGAATTAAGTGTAATTTGGAGATGCAATGATAAAACAGTGATACGACCAGACGGTAACAGATATGAATATTATGGGTTAGAACTCGAAGAAATGTTTGTTTTTATTTTTTTATTTTAAAATTTTTCGTTTAAAGTTACCTTGCTTCTGGAGAAGCTTATCGTTCATCTGCTTCCAAAAAATGGCGTCAAGAAAAATTTTCTCCTAATTTGGATAAAATGAGTAGGGACAGCCAAAATATGCACGGAAAATTGCCAAATATGCGCATATATATGCACCGAAAAAGCCCAAAATATGCATCAAAATATGCAAAATTTGCCAAAATATGCAGTGAAATATGCACCAAAAAATAGTTAAAATATGCTTTAAAAATCAATATTTTAATTTAAAAACACTAATTTAGCCTTTAATTTTACATTTTATGAACACTTCTAAAGGATTTAATATATTTAAAATTTCTGCAAAAATTTTGGGGAAAAAAATTTTCCCCAAAAAATTTTCGAAAATATTTTTTCAAAAAATTTTTATAAAAAAATTTTTTTGACCAAAAAATTTCAAAATTTTTGTCAATTTTTGGCAAAATTTTACAAAAAATGCCTAAATATGGACCAAAATATGCAAATTTTGCCAAAATATGCACAAATATGCAAATATGCACGAAATGGTCGAAATATGCAAATATATGCATTAAGAACCGGGTCCTAAAGTGCCCGTACTTATGTAAAAACACCATTTTTGGGCTTCCCACTTCAAGACATATCCGCATACAAAACATGCATTTGCATGTTTTGGCTGTCCCTAAAAATGAGTGAACGTCAAGATGGCTCTTATTCATTTTTAGACAAAAGAGTAATTAAAAGTTCATTCACATATTATTTTTTATTTTAAGGAGGGACGTGACAAAAAATATTTACGAATTGTCAGCAATGATTTTACAGTTTTTTCTTCTTTTTAATACATATATTTTTTAAAATATTTTTTAAAGCTCAAACGTGACATGTTAACAAAAACAATTACGGTTACAATTCTGGAAGGGCCTATTTCACGTACTTATATTGAAGTAAGAATCTGTATAGACTATTCAATTATTGTTAAACACGTTGAAGATCAAAGTAATTTTTTTATAGAAATGTTTTGTTACCAAATATGCAGCTATTTTTCAGTCTCTTAATTTTGAGGCGCATTTCCTAAAATCACCTATGTCGAAATTTCGATATTAACGCAAATATTGTTTTAATATGGGCAAGCATTATTAAATCGGTACTTATTCCCCCCCCCCCCCCCCAGTCCGCATTTTAGTTGATGTTACAAATGGTTCGCAGGGAATAAGTAAAATTAAATCTTTTACAGATAAATCTATATGCATTTCATATGGAGATTGCAAACAACATATATATTGAAGTGATTAAAATGCTATATTCTGGTGGAGATGTAAATAGTGTTTAATTTATATGTTTTTTATTTGAGATAATTTTGGATATTTTTTTCAAGTTATTTTTTTTTCTTCAGGGTACATTTTTTTCATTTTTTGCCTTAAAAATATTTAAGTCGGACCTCATAATAAAATCTAACACTCGATACGCCTCAATTAAGGATGTTTTTTGAAATTTGTTTGGCTACCGAATGGGGAAGGTGTTTAAACGACACCCCTTGATTAAGTAACAATCATAAGATATTATTTTTAATTCTGATTGTTTATCCTATTAATGAGTAGGGCGTGTAATTATATGGATATAAAATCGAAAAATATGGCAATAAAATATGGATATAAAATCCCGAAATATGGATATAAATATGAAAATAAACGCTAAATATGGCTATAAAATCTCGAAATATGGATCAAAAAATAGTCAAAAGATATTTTAAAAATCAGTATTTTATATAGAAAACAATAATTTTGCCTTTAACTTTGCATTTTAAGAACATTCTAAAGGATTTTATGGAATTAAAATTTCTGTTAAAATTTTTTTGGAAATAAATTTTTCCGAAAAATTTCCAAAAAAATTTTTTGAGCAAAAATTTCCAAAATTTTGAAAATTTTCGCCTATTTTTAGTAAAATTTACCAAAAAATGACCAAATATGGACAAAATATGGAAAATATGGGCATAATGCCAAAATATGGAAAAATATGGAAAATATGGATTATAAAGACCATTCTAGAAACCCTAAAACAGGCCAAAAACATGTTTTTCGTACGTTTCATGGTCATAGGAATTCAGGAAAAAAATATGGATTTCCATATAATTACACGCCCTATTAATGAGGTTCGGCTTCGTTTTAATTTATACATAACGTGTGCTTAAAATAATTTATATTTTTCTAAAGTCAAAATTTTACAATAAAATTAAAAAAATTTTTTTAAATTCATACATATAGTTTATTCAATAATATATTTTTTAAATTCTAAAGAAAATTGTTTTTAATTTAAATTAATTGGATATGGAGAAAATCGATAGAGATAACTTTACGAGACACAAAAATAATCAGAATGTTCGACAAAAAAAATTTAGTAAAACAGCGCGTGGACAGGTTAAGGATGATGAGGAAGTTGAATCGAATATAGTTAAACGGTATTTTTTTATAAATATACTTTGGATATAGGAGGTCTGGATAGGATTTAAAACCAGATTTTTTAATGTAAACAGAACTGAAAAATTTTAAAACAGATAATCTAAAGCGATTTTGTAAAAAAATTCCCCTCTTCAAAATAAAGCCTATAGTTGACTAAAAAGGCTGGAGATCTAAACTTCCGTTCAGCCAAAACCTTTATTTTTTATGAGCACCCTATTATTTCTTACGTCGAACTCATTTTCGATGCCTTCTAGCAGTTGGTGAAGCCTACTCTATTTGCTAGAATTTTATTGACAGCAAAGTAAACATATTATTAATTTAATCCTCCCATATAAGTACATACCTATAAGCTGAAATCTATTTTTTAATTTCACAAAAAATAAACTTTCAAATTAATTTAGAAAAGGCTATCAAAGTGCTTATAAACGTGCACAACAAAATTAGAAAAAATTACGTGAAGAACGAAAAAATGAAATTGAACGTCAAAAGATTTAAAAAGACGAGTGAAAAAGCTGAATTTCAAAAAGAATGCTGTTGAAAGTATATTAGAAATTTATTTATAAAAAAATCTTAATTTTTAAATTCAGAAAAAATCAAGTTTTGCCATTTAGAACAAAAAATGGGGCAGCCTAATTTTATTGCACAAATTGAAATGATTTTAGAAATGGAAAAAAAGATAAAGAAACAGATTAAATTATTTTAATTGAAAATTTTTGTCGGGTTTATGATACTAAAAATTTAAAATTTCCAATTATAGTGTGTTAATAAATTATATGAACACTAATATTTTTCTTTTTTCCCTGGGTTCCCGAAGGTTTATGAAGTTGTAATTTTTACAATAGTTATTAAATGTAATTTATACAATATATCCATAATATCTTAAGTTTATTTTGCCAAGAAAATTTTTTATTCCAATTTTTCATAAAAACAGGTGTTAAGAAATTATATAACACTTTTTAAAAATCTTATTTTTCATATTAGAAATGCTTGAAAAATTTTGCGAAAATTTTTCTGTGCATTTTCATTGATATTGAGTAGAAGGACAAAAAACGAAGTCTCTAAATAACTTTTTCATCGAGATCTCGGATCTGAAAATCAACGGGAAATAGGGGTCTATAATTATTACGCAATTTTGGAGATGTCAAAGTTAAGTAATTTTTGTCTGAAAGTGGATAATTTAGTACAAGTTAATATGTCGTGTGGTAATTTAGGATAGAGCCTTGCCATTTTATCTAAAAAGAAATGGTGCTTAATATTAGTATTAGCTATTTGACAATTAATTTTAAATTTATTTCGAGTAATGCCTGATAAAATTTTAGGGTAGTATTGTTTATTTATTGTAATAAGTCCATAAATTATTTTATGCTAACAAATTAGGTCCAGTACAAGTCGCCTATCCTTTAATGTTTTTAATTTGAACGTAATTAATAATTTTTCATAACTAAGATTTTCAGTATATTTATGACGAAGTGACCTATGAAATATAGCCTTAAGTGCTGTTTTTTGAACATTTTCCAATTTATTTATGTCTTGCTTTATATAAGGATTAAATATTTGTGAAGAGGATTCAAGTATAGGTCTAACATATGAACAGTACATTTTAATAAGAAATTCAGGATCGTTAGATTTAATAGCTTTTAAAAGAGTATAAAGTCGAGCATAAGCTTGACGAGTAATTTTTAGAACATGATTAGACCATTTAAGATTTTTATAAGTGTGTATGCCTAGATCCTTAATGGAATCAATGACTTTTTCAATGGTGGTATTATTAAAGTAATAGTTTTTGAAAGAATTAGATTTTCCTAAGTAGAATTCTAATTTTTCTATTCTAATTTTTGAAATATTATTTAGATTTTATTCAGTATTTATAAATTAATTAAGAATATAAAATATTAAATTTGTTAAAATAAATATCCAAAATTTTCAAAACAATTTTACATTATCCTATCCCGCCTTTTTAAATATTCTAAAATTGAGGTTATCAAGTTCTTAAAGGGTTAACAATCGGCTTCACTTTTTTGTTGTCAGCATCTTCCTCAGCAGAATACGGAGGAATATGAATTGGCGGAAGGCCTTCAGCAATTTTTAGATTATAGCCCATTGAAGCTGAAAATTTTTGCGAAGTACTACATTAGGACCTCACTTACAATAGGACCTCACTTTAAGGGCTAAAAATATTGTGCCTTATAATGGGGGGCAGGGGTGAGCGCATTGCGTTTTGCGTTATTTGCGTTAAATTTTGGCCTTGCGTTGCGTTTTGCGTTTTGCGTTTTTTGAGATTGGCTCTTGCGCTCATCCCTGATGGGGGGTTTGTTAAATAGAGGTTATCAAGACCGAGAGACTCAATCGAAAAGAGAAGGGAGATTCTTAGAACGAAATACTTGCTAGAGAAGAAATAGTTCAGTCTCATGTATCCATTAAGGCATGTATCTTATAGTAAGGTCCTACAGTATTCCAAAAAATTATTAAAACTCTTTAAAATTTTCTGAAATTTATTCTTTAATAAATACTTATAAAATTTAAAAAATAATTTAATTAATTACGCGCTGATGCGCTATATCCACCACCATAACCACCACCCTGCATTGAACCAAAACCTCCAGATCCACCTCCACCCATACCCATCCCTCCTGAATTAGTTTTAATAATCTTAACATCTAGCTAGGATAACTACCGCCCATATCACCGCCTGGACCACCTCCACCGCTCATTCCACCCATCCCCATTCCGCCTCCTCCGTTCATGTCTCCACCACCCATAGACATACCACCACCCATACCTCCATCGGGCATACCACCTCCGGACATTCCTCCACCTTTTGAATAGAATTTAATTTTAATTAGGGACAGCTGGGAAAGGATTTAATGCATAGTTAACGTCTAAGACAAATCTCTTCGGCCAGATCCGGATTTGAAAAAATTGTTCTTCACTCACCATATCCCATACCCATCCCTCCACCGCTCATTCCCATATTTCCATCAGGCATCCCACCTCCCATACCCATTCCACCTCCCATCATTCCACCACCACCGCTCATATCTCCCCCTCCCATCATCCCTCCACCGCCACTCATCATTCCTCCACCTCCATCAGGCATTCCACCACCCATTCCTTTAAAAATATTTTTAAGCTACTTTAACAACCAACATTTACCTCCTCCACCCATCATCATACCACCACCTCCCATGTCACCACCACCGCCACCTCCCATACCTCCTCCACCCATTCCTGGATCCCATTGAGAACTAACACTTTTAAGCGTAATAATGCTCAGGAATATAGTAAATAATGTGAAAAACATTTTTTTAATTCAACTTGAAAATTGCTAAAAAATTTCAGAAAAGATTTTGGTAATCCTTAAGAGCATTGTTTACAAAAAATGGACAAGAATGGTTCTCTTCAAGATTTTTGAGGTTTTATATTAGGTAACCGACTGTGCTGAATCCGAATCCGAGTTCAAATTTTATTTACTTCGAATCCAAGCCACAAAATCCACCCCCCAATCCACCTCCAATCTAAGTAATCGACAGTGATGAGTCCGTAACTGAGTTAAAATCCTACTTATTTCGAATCCTAGACCCGAATCCGACCAGATCGAACTTGGATTATAATTTATACACAATGAAGTTAAGGCCATTCTGAATCTCTCTCCAAGCTGAGTGACTCATTAAAATATATGAGAGAGCACTTCTTACTCCTTGTTTTAGAACTGATGTACTTAAGGATTCCCAAAAAATTTTTTGTTTAATAAATAATTTAAATTTATAAAGTATTAATTTTTAAAATAAAGTTTTAAGAAATTTTCTAAGAAATCCAAGAAAGTTCCAAGAAATGGACAGCAAATGAGCGGACACCAAATAAATTTACTTTTAAATATATTAAAATACAAAGGGATAATAATAGATTCCCGAAAATATTATTTTTTCCTTTTTTCCATTAAAAATAGCCAACAAAAAATAGAAACATTATTAAAACATTTGCAAGTTCGGGAAAATAAAGAAAATGTTTTTAATAATAAAATTATTAATCTACTACTAGTTTTCTTTGTTTTTTTTTCAATAATGTTAACAAAAAAAAAGGAAAATTTTTTGTTTTATTTTTGGAAATAATTAAAAGACGAATTTTTAGAATTTTTACTTTATACGGAAAATATTCAGCAAAATTTTCGATTTTTTTCGACTTTTTCGAATTTAATTCAAAATATGACCTAAAAATAATTTTTGAAAATATACTTCATAAATTGAGGAAAATTATTTTTGAGAAGCTTGAGAAAATTCCCCAAAATTTTTTTATTTGCCTCTGATAATGTTTTGAATAAAAACGAGGGCACGCACACATGAAGAATTGAGGGGAAAAAAAAATTTGCGTCACTTGGGGTCATCTGAAATGCCACAACCCACATTTTAAACAAAAATATTTCTCCTCCCATATTCCCATACTTTTTCGAAAATTAATCTTTTATTGATGAAGAGAATACATATAAGTGCCTCCGCAGTGAATTATTTTCTATTACTTCGTTTTTTATTTATACAATTTCTAAATTTTAGTAAACACATGTCGCTTTAATCTATAATATAATTTTGTATTTTTTATTTAAATTTTTATGCCAAATTTCCGATTGATTACCGGCTCAGTATATCTTCAACTCCCTTTAACATATCAAGATAAAAATTTTTAATGTCCAAGTACAACTGGACATGGAAATACACTAAAAGATAGAGAAGACTCAAAATTTTCGAATTATCAATAAAAAATTTACGTTGATAAACCTTCGAAAATGCCATTTATTTAAAAGATTTAGATTTTATATTTTTATCAAATTTTGTTTTTATCAATCTGCCGAAAATAGGGTTGGGGGCCCGATCCTGCCAAGACCGAAATATCGTGTCGGGCCTTGAATTTCGATCCGAAAAAGACTCGGTCGGGCCGGTCCGATAAAAAATGACTCGAACGTCGGCCCGACTCGAAAACCCCAGCCCTAGTCGAAAATTTTGATTTTTTGGAATATTGTATTTTATTTAATTCCCCATCCAGTTATGAACCGTACCTCTGATAATAAAATATAGAATAGACATTTTGTCGCGAGCAGACCTGGGCGAAACTCAAAATTTTTTTCTGACGAAACGAAACGAAACAAAATTTTTTAAAAATCGTTTCGTTAACGAAACGAAACGAAACAACCTAAATCTTACGAAACGAAACGAAACAAAACGAAACATTTTAATATTCAAAAAATTTTCAAAACTGCATTTATTTCGCAATTATTCGACCTCAAATACTTTATTAGTCGCCTATGACTTATAAATGATTTAGTTATTGGTTTATTTACAACAATTGTGTCCCATAAGCCAGGCCCCATAAGCCAGGCCCGTCTCCATATCTCCATTTCGAGAGGAAGGCGATATAAGCTAGTGCTTCGCCGGAAGTTCCGGTTCCAGTATTTCCGCAACTCGCAATCCGCAATTTTTAAATTATGATGCGAGTCCGGTAATAGAATTTGTCGTCGATTAAGTAATATGTATATGTGAATTAGGGAGTGGAGTATAAACGGATTTGTAGTATATAAGTAATTGATATCTTCCTTTTTCAGCGCCGCAGGCGAAAATTTTGACAATTTGGGAAAGCAAGAAGCCGAAATTCTTTTTTTTCAGCGCCGCAGGCGAAAATTTTTTAAATTTTCAATAAAAGATGGTAAATTTTATAGATTTTGGCCTTAGTTTAGGCTTAAAAAATTGTTTCGTTTCGTTGAAAAATCACAGGTGTTTCGTAACGAAACGAAACGAAACAAATTTAAAAGTGTTTCGTAACGAAACGAGACGAAACAGTAAAAATCATACGAAACATACGAAACAACGAAACGAAACGTTTCGCCCACGTCTGGTCGCGAGCCACATAATCACCTTTTAATCCTACTGTATTTTCCCTATTCACTAGATTAAAGATTTTCTTATAATTGGACTTAAATTTTTTTAATTTTTAGTTGGAATTTTTATTGTTAAATTCTGAAATATGAGCGGAATTGAAGAAGATTCGTTTGATTTTCCTAAAGTTATGGAAAAGGAGAATTGTCTACCGGATTCTAATTCTTCAACAACTTCATCTGTTTTTGGAGTATTTTTTAATCTAAATTTCTTTTTTGAAGTAATATCCTTCCCTCTTATTCAGACTCTGACAAATGCTCCTTTACTTCAAAGCACTTCTCAGCAATCAGCTGAGAAAATACAAAAACCTGAATTTTTGAAATGGTCCCTTTTATTTTTGAATTTTTTCAAAATTTATTTTTAAATAGCTTTCATTATTTACATAACAGTGGAGGTCGTGCCATTTCTCCAATTATAGAGTCATTCCGAGAAGATATAGATAACATGGACAGAACAAGTGGCAAAATTGTTCAAAATTTGGTTACTCGATTTGAAAATTTGTTTGATGTAAAAATTTATTTTCTTGCCTTTTTAAAAAATATTTTAAAGTATTTTGAAAGAAAACAGCACCAATTAAATACAAATTGGGAAAATTTCCATAAAGAGATGGCGAAGTTTAATCAACAAAAAATCCATGAATGGGCAAAATTGGTAGATATTCGTTTTGGTCTTCAACGTGATGAATATAATGCAAAGGCGGGAAAGGCTTCTGATAAAATAAAAGAGTTGGAACTAGAGGTCTAGTTAAAATTTGATCAAAATTATTTCATTTATTTGAAGCTAATACATGCAAAAATTAAATTATTGGAAGGAGAAGTCAATGCCATTGGAAAAGCATTTAAGGAGGATAATACAAGAATTAAGGAGTATAGTGAAATTTTGGATAATACAGAGGTCTTTTCAGAATTTTACTCAAGTTTTCATTTTTGAATTTTAGCAAGAGAATTCCTACTCCCAATTTGTTGATCAGCCTGTGAATTTATTTAATTCTCTTACACCCTTGGCATTTAATGATATGGAAATTTCATCTTTAAATCAAAAATTTGAATTACCATCTAAAATGGTGTTTATTTTTAAAAATTTATTTTATTATTTCGGTAATAGTTCCGTTCGTATGACACCAAAATCAGCCCTCAGTCTTAACTTTGGGCCGAGAGACTGGCCCTCGAAAATTGAAAAATAAAAGGGTAAACCAAGTTCATTTTCTGGGCTAAAAATTCGATTAAACAAATAATAGCTCATTCGGAAGAGCTTGTCGAGCTGTTTCGAATGACATTGAAGTTAGATAACCTAAGACTGACTGACCATTTTTAATACGTTTAAGAAGGAAAAAGGAGGGGGAAAGTACGAACCGAACTATTACCATCATTTCTTTTTAAAAGGTGAATACAATGTATATATTGACTGAAAGAGGTAAAGAATTTACATTCAAAAATGAAAATGAAGAAATTGTTGTTGTTGAACTCTCTGGATGTGGTCATCAGTATTGCCTTTTATATGAATATCCGAATAAATTATTTGGTGAAAATGACCACTTAAATGAGTCTAAATACAAATATTTTCGTTGGACAACCGTTCCTCGATTACCATTATCAAATTTAAATTTACAGATACAAAAAATTGAAGTAAATTTTTTTAATTAGAAAATTTAGACGATTTTGATTTGTGTGGATTAATATGGATATCAAGGGATCTGAACGGATTATGAGAGATATCGAGTGAAAAACGAAATATTAAGTGGGATAACGCCGGCCACACTTCATTTTACCGGGTGATTCTAGATCTGGCCGAGGCTGTAGCTCAGGGTTGTCGTTTCCAAACCACTAAAATGGGGCGCAGCCACTCAAAAATGGGGAAAAAATAGGGCAAAATTGGTCAAAAATATGGCAAAAAATAGGGAATTATTTTAAAAAACATAAAAATAATTAAAATATTAAATAAAAAGCCTTATTCCGCATGTTCTCCACTAGTTTTAACTAAATTTCTAAAAAACAGAAAGTTCCGATTAGAGACAGACTGGGAGAATCGTACGAGATGTCTCTCTCGATCTCGATATTCAAGTTTTTTTCATTATCTTTGGAACCAATAGATTTCTTCCATTTTTAGCAAAATTTTGAGAATTTTGAAAAGTTATGAAGCCAGATTTTTTCCTCTTTAGCGCCGAAGGCGAAAATTTTGAGAAATTAGGAAGACCAATAGGAGAGATCTCTTTTCAGCGCCGCAGGCGAAAATTTTGGGAATTATTACATTATGTCCAAGAGTTAAATTTCTTTGTTTTTTCGCATTTTATTTACAAAATGCCCGACAATTTGAAAAATATTACAAAATGTTAAAAATAAGGCAAAATATGGCAAATGTATAAAATAGGGAAAAAATGGGGCGAAAAGGCCAAAAATAGGGAAAATCCCCTATAAATAGGGTAAAACGACAACCCTGCTGTAGCTCCGAAAGACATCACGGCTTCCATAGCGGCAAACTTTTTCAGGCGAGGTGTTGCGTCAAGCTTTTTCGAATGACATATAGATATTTAATCTAAATCTAAAATCGCCCGTTAAATTGCAGTTTAGACTAAAGGACATAGAGGGATTATGAGAGAATTAAGGGGTGGGGGGGTTATCTTGGTAAGATTAGGAACTATTATTGGCGATTAAGGCTAATTTATGAAAATAATAATTAGATCAATCTTTTTCTTATAGATAAACTTTCTCCAAGGCAATAGATACTACAAAATAATTACTCCAAATGCAAATATTATTAAATTTTATCTTTCTGGTGGTTTAGAAATATGTTGGAGAAATGGGGATGAGACTGTGATCAAACCTGATGGGGAAAGGACAGAATTTTTTGGTCAAAAAAAGATAGAAATGTTTGATTTGACTTTGAAATTTAAAATTTTTTTAATTTAAAGTTACCTTCCAAGTGGGATAGCATATCGCAAATGTGATGCAAATGAATGGAATAAAGAAGAATTCTTTCCAAATAAGGCAAAAATGTCCGTTAGAGAAGACGGGTCTTATTCCATTTTATACAACCAGGTACTTTGTTGGATCTTGTAATTTAGCTATAAATTATTTTTAATCTTGCCGAAATTGTTAAAATAATTTTTTTTCATTTTTTCACAAATTTTTTTAATTTAAAATTTTTAAAATTTTCATTTAATATTTTTCAATTTAAAGCCACAACGAATCCACATGGAAAATACTTCAAAGTATTATGATTATTTACAAATAAATGCACCAGATTTTAAAGTTTTTTATAAATTCTATTCTTTAAAAATATTTTTTTATAGCTTCGTCGTTTTAACACAACAAAAGCTGTTAAGATAGAAATACCAGTCGAATCATTTCCTGGCGAAAGTGTAGAATTTTGGCTTTGTGTAGACAATCCCCTTATGATTAAACATGTTCGTATGGAAAAGGGGATTTGTGGACAAAAGGAACTTGGTAATTTCAAAAAAATAACTGCTCGTAAACAAAAGCTAAAATATTTAAGCATTATAAATTTTTAAAGGTAAATATCTTTGTTTTTCTGATGGCAACTGTGGACATATTTGAATTCAATTGATAGAAATACTAGAGAACAATGGATTTACATGATGCAGCAATGAGATGGCTACACCGCGCGATTGATGACGCTGGTTTCGTTATTTCCGACTTCCTCCGATAAATACAGAATAATTTTGCTTCGTGTTTGTACATTAGAGATCGAGATTTTTGAAAAGTTTGGACCTGTTCCTTGACTCTTGAGTTTGATTTCTTCACTTGACTGGATCCTGGGCCTGTAGTTCAGGTAAAACTCTTGCCCAGGAAAAACCCAATAAGGTCAAAAAATGCCTGGACCTGGATTCTGGGTACAAGAAAAATCCAGGCCTTGGTCCAGGTCCAGCTCGCCTCTATGTACATTTCCGTTTTATTTTGAAAATTTCTCTTCTTTTTCTTTACTTAAGTTTTTATTCGTTTGTTTTGTACTTTTGTTCTGCCCGACTTTCTCGCTGAAATACACAATAATTTTCATTACATGTTTACTAGATTTACTTGGATTCTTGATGATTTCGTGTAGTGTTTCGCTTGAAAAATTCTTTTTACTTTGCTTTTATTGTTTCGCTAAATATACATATATTTTCGTTTTCGTTTAGTTTTTAGAATCTAAATTTTTCTGTACTTGTACTTCGTACAAGGCTTATTTCTTCTCGTACTAGTATTACTACTATTCACTCGCCGTTTTTATTCTCAGCTCATACCCTTTTTATTTTTGTCTTGTACCTTTCACTTTATTGTAAATGGGAAATGTACGAGAAATTTAAATTTTTTATGATTTTCTAGACTAAGGCAAAATATTTTTAGGAATCCCGCATGAATAATTTTTTCTAAAACATAAGTGACGGTATATGAGGATAGATACTTTATTTCGTGAATCAAAAACAGCGGATTGCTCAAGCGGTATCCTACAAAATCTCGCGCAAGATCCCGTCCCGTGTTGGTCAATAACCGGAACTATTTTACTATTTTTTCTTTAATTTATACACAATTGAATAATTCTTAAATTTTTAAAAATTTGTTGTAGATTTTCAACACGTATTTTTATATATATCTCAATCTCTAGTTCCAATCCTCTAACTTTCATTTTTTTGTTAATTTTCAGACGATTATGAGCGGGGCTAAAGGAAATTCAAATTTTTGTAATGAATCTGTGGAAAACGAGAGTTGTCTTGCAGATTCTGACTTTTTAAATGCTTCTATTTTTGCTGTATTTTTTAAATTTATTTTTTTAATCAAACATCTTTTCTCTTATTCAGCCTTTGGAGATACCAAATTTCAAGCAGCCGAATGCTCCTACGGTTCAAAGTAATTCTCAGCAGCTAGAACTTAGAATAAATGAATTGGAAACACAAGTATATTAATAAGAATTATTTATAACGGGGGATTTTTGCATATAATAATTTTAAAATCACTATTTCTTGCCAATAAAATGGCATTGAAAATAGTTCATCTATAGTGTAAATTTATGGTTATTTTGGAAAACTCTAAGGAACAATCAAAAAAACTTAAAAATATTTTAAGGACAAAATATTTTTACCCATATTAATAAAAATTATTTATAGGTAGAACAATTAAAAGCAAATGATGGATTGTCTTTATTAAAAATTAAAGGTTTAGAAGAAGAATTAGATGTTCGAGAAAATGAGTTGGCTAGAGCACAAGTTTTTAAATGAAATTTTAATTATTTTTTTAATCTTTAGAGAGAGAATACCACTCTTCGTTCTGAATTAAACTTGATGAAGAAGGAAAAACAACAATTGGCAGCATCACAAATTAATTTGCAAAAAAATAAAAATGAAACACATAAAACAAACTCTTCTGTGTCAAGAGACACAAAGCTTAATGTTTTTCGCTTAAATCAACATTCTAGTCGAATAGATTCATTTCCAAAGAATTCAGTTTCTAAACTTAATAATAACACAACTTCAACTTCATCTGATAAAACTTTTATACGCCGATCTAATTCCGTCGCTTCTTTAAATACTCGATACAAACAGCACGCTAATAACTCTACCGAAGAACCCGTAAATTTAGTTCCAGCTCCTAGTAATCATACGACATTTAATAACACGGAACTTTCTTTAAATCAACAATTTCGTTTGCCATCTGAGATGGTTTGTTTTCGAAATTTATTTCATTATTTCTTTCTAAAGGTAAGGAAAATGCATAATCTGACTACACGTGGAAATGAGTTTACCTTTAGCGATGGGAATAATGAAATTATTGTTGTTAAATCTGATTTATGTTGTCAACCGCCATATAAACAGCAATGTCTTTTATATGAATTTCAACCAAAATCTACTTGCAAAAATAATAATTTAGACCGGTCGGATTACAAATATTTTCGTTGGACAACAGTTCCTCTGCCCATATCCAATTATAATTTAAACAAAAACAAAGTTGAAGTAAATTTTTATTTTTAATCAGCAAAGTTTATAATAATTATATCTAATTTAAAGCTGAATCTCATCAAAAAAGTTCCCCTTTCTCCCTAATTTCCCCGAACATAAAATAATTACAATTTTCATAAACGTTTGCTTTTGAGGTATTAAAATTAAAAAAATATACCTAATTATACTTCTTTTGTCAAGGAGAAAAGGGAAATTTGATCATAATTTAATGCCATAAATTCTCAAATAATTTTGATTATTTCTTATAGATAAATTTTCTCCAAGGCAATAAATATTATAAAATAATTACACCAAATCAAAATATTATTAAATTTTATCTTTCTGGTGGTTTAGAAATATGTTGGAGAAATAGGGATGAAACTGTGATTAAACCTGATGGGGAAAGGACAGAATTTTTTGACCAAAAAAAGATAGAAATGTTTGATTTGATTTTGAAATTTAAAATTTTTTTAATTTAAAGTTACCTTCCAAGTGGGATAGCATATCGCAAATGTGATGCAAATGAATGGAATAAAGAAGAATTCCTTCCAAATAAGGCAAAAATGTCCGTTAGAGGAGATGGGTCTTATTCCACTTTATACAATCAGGTACTTTGTTGGAGTTTGTGATTTAACCAGTGCTGGGCATGGCTCCGGGAGCTAGCTAAGGAACCCCTGAACCGGAGCCATGAATTTGAAATGCCGGGAGCCGGAGCCAGCAAATGTCAAATACCCAGCACTGAATTTAATTATGAATATTTTTAATCTTTGAAATATTTTTAATACTTCTAATTAAGATACAACAAGTGCATATGGGAAATACCTCAAAGTATTATGACTATTTACAAATAACTGCTCCAGATTTTAAAGTTTTTATTAAGTACTTTTCATTAAAATATTTTTTAAAGCTTCATCGGTTTAATACAACAAAAGTAGTTAACTTAATAATTCCAGTCGAATCCGTTCCTAGTTCTAATTTGCAGATTTTTCTTTGTTGTGATAATGTAATTATTGTCAAACATGTTCTTAGTAAGGATGGAATTTATGGACAAAAGAAGCTCGGTAATTTTTAATGAAAGCATTAAAGTACTCCGCCTCCCGTGATAACTGTTCCTCTGCTTCGAAGGCATAGGCGCATTTCCTTTAAAAAACTTGGAATTTCGATTTTAGTTTTTAGCTTCGAAACAAAAAAATTTTCGGAAATCAAAAATCAAAAGAAAATCCAAAAACATCGAAAATAGAAATTTTATAAAAAAAACGTCGAAAATCGAGATTTCGACGCAGCTCTGTTTCAAGGCAGAGAAGAGCCAAATTCATAGTTAAAAAATATATTAAATCTTTTAAAGATGATTGTTTATGCTTTTCTTTCGGAATGTGTGAACATACTATTAATTGTAATGTCTTCAATGAATTAATTTGAGTGGAATATGTATTTGGATTTTATTTATAAATGAACTACGGGGAATTTGAATATTTTTAAAAATATTTTCTATAACAAGTTATAATTTTCTTTATTCTCAGTGTATTTTTTTCAGCTTTGATTTGAATATTTTAGTCGGACCTCAAATCTAATATTAGATACACCTCTATTTATGATTTTTTAAATGGTTTGGGATGGGATAAGATGTCTAAGCAATATCCCTAATTAAGTACCTCTCATAATAAGATATAATTTTTCAGCCCAAATGTTTACCTTATTTGAGGTCCGATTACTTTTCTAGCTATCGGTTTATATTATGTGCCTAAAAAATAATTTAAAATGCCAATATAAGTCATTTATATTTTAATTTTTAAAGTCAAATTTTTTAAATAAATTATTTTCAAAAAACTCTTACAAATTTTCTATTTATATTATTAAAAATTTTAAAAGATTTGGTAATAATCGGTTTTGTATGATGCATTTTTCTTGTTTATTCATCTCGTTAAAAAATACGGAAGAGTGGTCTTTCGGTACTTTTAAGGGTTGTAATCGAGTGTGTTGAGTCCGAATATGAGTTCAAATTATATTTATTTCGAACCTCGGACCGAATTAAGCATGAAGCGACGTGTCAGTTTAACATAAAAATGGTTGTAGTTTAGTCGAGGGCCGTCTCCAAACTGGGTCGAAACATATGTCATTCGATTCGTCTCGACGAGCTGAGTCGAACGGGGCTTTACTTCTTGTGTCAGCGAATTTTGACATGTCATGCATTGAAATGCACAAAATGCTCAGTGGAAACAAGAAATTATTAAAGATTCATTTAGGAGAGAAATATAAGATTTTTCTAATTTAATTTGGAGTGTACTTTAAATTTGGAAATTTAGTACCCATGTACTCCCCATAGGTTTACGTTGACCATTTTGAACCTGTTTATCTCGGCTCATAATCAAGATCTCGAGCTGATTTTGGTGTCATTCAACGCAGCTCGATACCCCAAAAATGAACTTTCTCGATACCCCAAAAATGAACTTTCTCGATACCCCAAAAATGAATTTACTACCTATGGTTTTTGACCATTTCGAGCCCTATATCTCGGTCCACAAGCATCTCCGGGAAAAGAGTGGTACCTTTCGACTCAGCACCTTTTTCTACCCTATATATGACATTTTGATCATTAATTTAGGGGGTTACGTCATAACGGAAAAGTACCCCTCTACTTACTGCTTAATTCATCCCGCTAACACTGAATTAATCGTAATTTTATATTAGAAGTTCATGAGAAAACATGTTCAGGACTATTAAGTAGAGGCCAGACCGAGACGAGATTCTACACAAATATCCGTCATCGAGAATCGAGATTTTTCAAGATACATATCATCCTCGTGCGACCCTTCAATATTGTTTTTCGTTTTTTTTTCATTTTTTATTCTAACTTAATTAATGTTGACTTTTTATTTCAAAATATAATTTCAAAAATATAATTTTTTTTTATTTCAATATATATCCATGTAAATTTTAATTTTTATATTTTTAAAAATCTTCTTCTTTTATTATTGTTTCACCACATAAACCGCTGCCACTTTTCTGGATCATTAGGCCATTTGAAAGGTCTATTTAAAAATAAATAGAGAACAAAAGAAGAGACCTAAAATAAATTTTTTGGTTAAAAAATCCCTCAAAATTACCATTAAATTAATCAAAATTTCGAAAAATTGTGCTTTTCTTGATTGATAATCTAATGAAAGGCGCCATAAAGCAAACGGTATAATAAAATAACGAAATTCTAATAAAAAGGCTGGAATGAGGCAAAGTGAAGTAAAAACAAGATAAAAGGCCTAAAAAATTTTTTTAAGTGAAGTAAAATATTTTTATAAGGACCTTTAATTTATTTGGAATTTCTGAGGTCATTTTAAACATAAAAATTGCACTGAAGTTATAGAAGGGTATTGCCAAATATTTAGCCTAAAAAATAAAAAAGGTATTAGACTGATAAAAGACATTATTTATTAAAAGGTATTAGACTGATAAAAGACATTACTGATAAAAGACATTACTAAACATTATTTACGCCCCGAATTTTTAAATAAATTTCTAGGAGGTAATTGGATCCAGTTTTAATAATGATGCTATTGAAGAAGCATTCGAGGGAGTTAAGTAAAATTAAGTGATGATACAAGGCACCGATAATAATTATAAAGATAATTTACAAATGAAAAGACACCTTATCTGAAAATTGGAGGGTGTTACCATAAAAGCTGGAATGAGGATTGACCGAGACATTGAGTGAGATATCAAAAATAGATATTGTAAAGCATATAGCTATTCAATTCCTAAGGCTATGCAGTAGGCGGCGTGGTGTAATGGCTAGACATCAGTCCGGTCTACTGAAGATGCTCAGGGTCTAACAGATTTAGCTAGATAACTGATCCAATGACAACCCGGCATAAATCCGAAAAAAAAATCAAAATGCCCATAAAATAAAATTTAAAAAAAATTCTAACAATCCAATGTCTCTGAAAGAATCGTTGCCATATATAAAAAGTAAAATGTCTATTATCCGCCAACAAATAAGGATGTGCTAATGTACAACAATTGACTGATAAAAAGGCAAATAATGAAATAAATAACATTGAAATTAAAGAAAAACTGAAAAAATTTTTAATTTAATTTTATAATAAATTAATTCACCGATTAAATATTTTCTTATAATTTTGAAAAAAATAGCTAATAAATAAAGGCATGGAAGATGCTGCAGTAAACCCAACAAAATAGAATAATTGAGGTAAATGGATGGCCTGAAAATATTTTTTAATTAATAAATTTGAGTTAAGCAAAGAGGTAAGAGGCTAGCAAGAGGTAATCTTTATGATTTAACGGATATTTTTTCCGATTTTTTAAGTAAATTGGATAAGTTAATCAAGACAGAAATACCTTGAAAAAATAAATTATACTAGGTTATAATTACTAAGGTTGTTTCCCGCCCCCAAAAGTTGGAGAAATTGAGAGATTTTTTGGAAATTCCCCGTCCCCACCGCCCAGCGCTGCCTCCCCGAAAATTGGTTCCCGTGCCCCCCGTCGTGGAACAACCCTCCGTAAAACTCAATATAATTAGTTTCTCAACTAATCCCTCGTCCCAGGGAGCTGTTGAGAATAATTTCACAAGGAATTATAACGAGAATATGTTGATATGCCACTTAAAACTTTGACCTATCACCCTCACTTTTTGTCTTAAAATTTTTAACGGTTAATCAGAAACGAGTTATAAGAATCTCTCGAAGAAATTTCTTATAAATCACCAAATTAACTACTATAAAATTCAAATTTTAACCGGTTTATGTGCTGTCTTATCACCTAGCACAATACTTCCATTATTCCAAACAAGAAAACACATAAAAGCAAAAACCAACAAAAATTGATAAATAAATTTAAAAGTCTTTAAAAAAATTTTTTTAAATAAAAATCGCAAAAATTTGCCTTGAAAAATAATTGTTTAATAGAGATTTGATTAAATAAAAATTGTTTAATTAAATTTAATGAAATTGCCAAACAATTTAAAGCTGGCCAGACAATATTGGTCTTAAAAATTTTTTTTTTCACTAAAAAAATTTTTTTTGAATAAATGTGCCTGTCTTGTAAGCACTGCCAATGCCAAAAATAATGATGAAATTAAAGAAGAATTGAAGGAAATACCCCAAATAAAAGCTGTGAGGGAAAGAAGATCTGTATAACTTTAAAATAATATTTTTTTGGAATATTTTTTAAATTTAAAATTACTAAAGAAAGGAATTATTAAGCAAGACAGGGAGGAAACAAATTGTTAAAGCAGGTAATCGAACATCTCTGAATTGATCTGGAAAAGAAATTTTTGTTGAGTGTCAGACCACACTATAGTAAAGCAGCTGGTCTATAGCTATTTCTCTCCTTTAGCTAGTGCAGAAGGTTATTCGGCGGCTGGGAGCGAACCAGCATCTTCAGTAGACCGGACCGATGTGTTAGCCATTACACCACGCCGCCTACTGCTCAGCCTTAGGAAATAAATAGCTATATGTATGCTTTACACTATATGACACATAGAGTAGTAGAGGTGAGGGATGGACCGGGTTATCAGAACCCCAGGGGTTTCTTAACTTATAATCCGAAACTTGACCCAAATTTTTTCACAATTAGGTACATACTTGCTAATACAACTCTAGTTCTACCTAGTAGAATGACCCCTACATTCGAATTTCACTCTAATAGAATGCTCCTTTGTAAGGTGATGGAAAAATAGAATGCCTGGACATTCGCTAGAGGAAATAGGGCGTAAATCTTAAATTTGGTTACCCACTGGATGGGAGGAATGCCTAAACAATACCATCAATTTAAAAAATAGCTCGTTATAAGATAAAAATTTTAGAATAACCATGTGTCATATAGTGAGGTCCGACTATAATTTTATTTAATTTTACCAATATCTTTTTTTAATTTTCCTTTAGTAGAACTTAAAATAAATCGTCTCAAACGACATAAACCAGCAAAACAAAAGGGCAAAATTAACGAATTGAGGTAACGCTCATAACCACAAAAACCAAATAAAACAACAAGGAAATAAAGCCCTGGAGGTGTAGTTATCATTGGATTCCTGAAAATATGTGAGGGTTAAGAAAATTTCTTCGGGAAAATATGTGTGGTATTAGACGTGAGAATGTTCATTTTGCTTTTATGTAGGGTTGTCGGCTTCACACCGAATCGAAATTTTCGGTTAGATTTGTGGGTTCGGTTTCGGTTATCCGAAGAATTTGGTGAAACACATAACCCTACTTTTGAGGAATAATTTAGAATTGAATAGTTTACAAAATAGACTTTATCTTAAGGCTGGACGCAAATGAAAAAAATTTTCTTCGTCACAATTTTATTTTAAAATCCGCAAATTTTTTGAATGGTTTATTTCAGTGATCAAGACGTCCAGTTTCCCAAAAATCGAGAATTGAAATTTTATCGAAAATTCCCGACTCCCTGAAAAACTCCAGAAAGTTATTTTATATATTAGTTAGACCACTGATAAATTAATACCCTTTAAGTATTATAAATAGGGTTGGGGCCCGATCCGGCTCGGTCCGAAAGGTCGAGTCGGGCCTCGAATTTTGACCCGAAAAAAACTCGGTCGGGGCTGCACGATAAAAATGAGGTCCGAAAAAAATGACTCGAACCTCGGCACGACTCGAAACCCCAACCCTACTTACAAGATAAAAATTTAAATTTTCTACCATTCATTATAAATTCCTCTGCAATATAATCTTGTCTGTGCAACATGAAAAATTTCATCCATATAAGGCTCTGGAACTTTTTGATAAACAATTTTGACTATAAGGCTATGCAAAATTCCGAGAATAGAACCAAAGAAGAGATCGAAAAAGGAATTTTTAAAAAATTAAAAGGAGTGGGAAAAACCTTGAATTGAAGAGATCATGCTTGACACTATTATTAAAAAAAGTTAACAGACTAAAAGGAAACTGAAAATTATTTTTAAATTTAATTTTATTAATGGGAAAATATTTATAGAATTAAACTGAACGTAAATAATCAAACTAAAATTTTTTTATAAAATTTATAAAAGAACAAAAAAAAATATTTGGTACTACTCCGTTATCCCTACGTGTTTTGCGGACTTATTTTTGCGGACAATTTACTCCATCATCAGCACCATATTAATTTAACACTAATTGGAATGATTGAAATGATCCTTTCTTTTATATAGTTTTCATGTTATTTTTCTTTTTATAAATAAAATTTGTCCGCAAAAAAAGTCCGCAAAAACACGTAGGGATAACGGAGTAGTACCAAATATTTTTAAATAAATAGTCGAAACTGATTTCCTTTGGATTGAAAAAATCGGAAATTATAATGGAGTTTTTATTGGAGTATTTTGTAAAAAATATAGAAAAAAAATCTTTAGAAAAAAAAATTTTTTAGAAATTTTTATAAATTAATTAAAGAAAATTTTAAATATGGAGTATTATTTAGGCGGCTACCACCACCCAGTAACCAGTCAAAAATTAAAAAAATTCCGAATCTTAAACTGAAAAATAACCAATTTTGGCAGTATTCAGAAAATGAGGTTCGACTGAAACAATTTAAAAACAACCAGGCTGCTGACTTCGTTTTTCCCTTCCTTAGAAATGGAGTTTATTGACCATTATTAAGTGTCCTTAAAATTTTAGAATTTTTATAAAAAAAAATTTTTTTAAGAAGGAAAACCTCAAATTATCATAAAATAATTCGTTTCTCTATCTCTTTCCAATCTTTCTAAAATCACTTCTATTTGTGAATTTAAATTAGGTTGTCCTTTTCTTGGTCTAAGCTGCAAAACACGATTTTATCTAAATAAAAAAATTTTCTTTTTTAATTTTTTCAAAATTTTAATAAACCTTCGACGCCATTCTTTTTCAAATTCAGCTTTTTCTCTCTTTTCTTTTTCAACCTTTTGACGTTCAATTTCGTTCTTCACGTAATTTTTTAAAATTTTGTTGTGCACGTTTATAAGCATGTAAAGTTTATATTTTCGTGAAATTAAAACCTAGGCCCATTTATATGGTTTTATAAACAAGTTACACTTTTGCGGTCAATTAACTAAAACAGAATTAATTAACTGGTGGGAAGAATTTAAATTGAGTCTAAGTTAAATATTAATCGAATACCAAAACAGAATTTAAATAATTAATACGGATCTAAAGAATCAGATGTTTTTTGTTGACTACAAATTTTATAGGACAAGCCCAAAACGTCGTGCGGACATAACGGCGCAAAGCCATAACTTGCTTCAAAAATTCCTAATCTTAACAAATTTAGTATTAAACGATTCCATTATTCTAGCTAAGGAGATTGGTACCATAATTGAGAACCGCCGTTCAAAAAAATATAAAAAGTACTGCAAAAATTGAATTATAAAAAGAGTCAAAATCTGCAAGACTATCCTCCTTCTCCATAGATTCATGACAAAAATTTGAATTTTCTTTAGCCCCTCTCATTTTCGTCTGAAAATTAATAAAAAATGGTAAGTTAGACGATTGGAACTAGAGATTGAGTTATATAAAAATACGTATTGAAAACCAACAACAAATTTTAAAAAAATTACAAATTATTCAATTGTGTATAATTTAAAGAAAAATAGTAAAATATAGTTCCAGTTATTGACCGACAAAGGACGGGATCCTGCGCAGACATCGGCAGGATACCGTTTAATCAAGCAACAAGACAAAAATAGAATGGGTATGAGCTGAGAATGGCCTACTTTTTCCTTCCACTAAATATTAAAAATGGTCTGTCTGTTATCAGATTATAGAACTCGTCGAGCTGTGTCGAATGACACCAAAATCAACCCCCGGTGTTTATTTTGGGCCGAGGTACAGACAAAAACCTGCATTAGACAAAAACCTGCATTAGTCTCGCCGACACAAGTAGGATTACATTATGTCATAACTCTGTCAAATTTTTTTCAATTACATTGATTTTAATGTCTTTCGAATTCAAGCTTTTTCGAATGTTTAATCGAATTTTAGCCGAAAAATGAGTTTTTTCAATTTTCGGGGGTCTGTATCTCGGCCCAAAGTTAAGCTGGTGTTGATTTTGGTGTCATTCGACACAGCTCGACGAGTTATATAAACTAAGACTGACTGATCATTTTTTAATACTTTTAGGAAGGAAAAAGGAGGGGTACAAAATTCAATTTTACGAGTAGTAGTACGAGTATGAGAAGAAATAAGCCTTGTACGAAGTACAAGTACAGAAAGATTTAGATTCTAAAAACAATATACTAAACGAAAACGAACGAAAATATATGTATTATATTTAACGAAACAATAAAAGGAGAGTAAGTAGAATTTTCAAGCAAAACACTACACGAAATCATCAAAAATCCAAGTAAATCTACGAAAATCTAATAAAAATTATCGTGTATTGAGGGAGAAAGTCGGGCAGAACAATACTACGAAACAAACGAAAAGAAACATATGTAAAAAATAGAGAGAAATTTTAAAATAAAACGGGAATGTACAATAGAGGTCGAGCTGGGCCTGGGCCAAGGCCTGTTTTTCCTGTACACAAAGTCCAGGTCCAGGCATTTTTTGAATTTCCTGGGTTTTTCCTGGGTTTGGGGTTTTCCTGGACTACAGGCCCAGGATCCAATCAAGTAAAGAAATCAAACTCCAGAGTCAAGGAACAGGTCCAAACTTTTCAAAAATCTCGATCTCTAATGTACACACGAAGCAAAATTATCGTGTAATTATCGGAGGAAGTCGGAAATAACGAAACTGAGTGATCAATCGCGCGGTGTAGCCATCTCATTGCATCATCATAAAAAGGCATTGTTCTCTAGTATTTCTTATCACTTGGATTCAAATATGTCCAAAGTTGCCATCAGAAAAACATAGATATTTACTTTTAAAAAATTTTATATAGTTTAAATATTTTAGCTTTTGTTTAAGTCTGTTAGTTTTTTAAATTACCAAGTTCCTTTTGTCCAAAAATTCCCTTTTCCATACATACGTGTTCAATCACAAGGGGATTATTTACACGAAACAAAAATTCTACACTGTCACCAGGAAATGATTCGACTGGGATTTCTATCTCAACAGCTTTTGTTGAGTTAAAACGACGAAGCTATAAAAATATTTTTAATGAAAAGAATTTAATAAAACTTTAAAATCGGGTGCAGTTATTTGTAAATAGTCAGAATAGTTTGAAGTATTTTCCATGTGGATTCGTTGTGGCTTAATAAGAAATATTAAATGAAAATTAAAAAATTTTTAAATCAAAAAAATTTGAAATAATTTTTTAGTCTATTTCGGCAAGATTAAAAATAATTTATAGCTAAATTGCAAACTCCAACAGAGTACCTGGTTGTATAAAGTGGAATAAGAACAATCTCGTCGAACAGACATCTTGGCCTTATTTGGAAAAAATTCTTCTTTATACCATTGATTTGAATCAGATTTACGATAAGCCTTCCCACTTGGGAGATAACTTTAAATTAAAAAATTTTAATTTCAAATTCAACTCAAACATCTCTATCATTTTTGACCAAAAAATTCTGTCCTTTCCCCATCAGGTTTGATCACAGTCTCATCCCCATCAGACGTGGGCGAAACGTTTCGTTTCGTTTCGTTGTTTCGTTAGTTTCGTTATGTTTTTTTCTGTTTCGCCTCGTTTCGTGACGAAACAGTTTTTAATTTGTTTCGTTTCGTTTTGTTAACGAAACACCTGTGTTTCGTTAACGAAACATTGACTATTATTTTTTAATTTTTTTTCAGAAAATGGCTAATAATAGCAAATACAATAATTATTTTAAATTCGAAAAAAATAAAATTTCTTGCAACCAAGAACATTGTGACTATTTTTATGCACCAAAAAATCAATATGGTTTTCCAACAACATCTTTGCGTAAACATTTAGAGCGTAGGCATCCATCAGTGTTTTCTGAGCTCCTCCAATTCGAAAAATCAGAAAAAGAGATGGATGATGGAAAAGAAAAACCTAAACAGACAAGTTTAAAAAGAATATTTTCTGTTTCTGCCGGTTCGGCTTCAACTTCCCAAGGAATGACATCAACAAAACAGCCAAAAATAGAAGAATCATTTAGTAAGAATTAATCAAATTTTGATATTTAATAAATTTTTATTTAAGAACAATGGACAGCTGATGGAGAAATGACTAAAAAAGTTGATAAAGCAGTAATTTCCTTGATATGTACTGCTGGTCTTCCATTTTCTTTTGTTGAAGAGCCGGGTTTCAAAAATTTGTTACATATTCTGCAACCACAATACAAGATCAGGTTTTTTGAATTAATGTTTTGAGATTAATCTGAAATTTGAGGTCAAGAAAATTCTTTGTATATGAATCATTGCCAAATATGTATGAAGACATGGTGGGTGTTGTAAAAAAATCGGGTGTTGTAAAAAAATCTTTGGTGTTGTAAAAAAATCTTTTACCACTTGTTCGAAAATACCATTCAGCACCAATGTCTTCTTCAGAGTGCGAACGTGTATTTTCAGTTGCAAAATATATTTTGGATGATCGAAGGAAGAGTATTACAATGGAAAATCTCGAAAAACAGTTATTTTTACATGAGAATTTGCTCATTTACGGGTTTAAAATTGAATAAATGGCAAAATAAACCAGTTTTTTTGAAAATTTTTTAAACTTAAAATGTTTCGTTTTGTTTCGTTTCGTTTCGTTAAATTTTGACTGTTTCGTTTCGTTTTGTTAACGAAACGATTTTTAAAAATTTTTGTTTCGTTTCGTTTCGTCCGAAAAAAATTTGGAGTTTCGCCCAGGTCTGATCCCCATTTCTCCAATTTATTTCTAAACCACCAGAAAGATAAAATTTAATAATATTTGCATTTGGTGTTATTATTTTGTAGTATCTATTGCCTTGGAGAAAATTTATCTATAAGAATAAGATTGATCTTAATTATTATTTTAGTAAATTGGTTTTAATCCCCCGATAATAGTTCCTAATCTTACCAAGATCACTCTTAATCCATCGCTCGTCTTCCTTAATTCTTTCAGAATCACTCAAAGTCCTTTAGTCCAAACTGCACTTTACCGGCGATTTTAGATTTAGAGTAAATATGTATTAGAAAAAAAGAGCCTTGGCGAGCACCTCGCCTCTTGTTTGCTGCTACTGAGGAAGCCGGCATGTAGAGCGGAACGACATTTACCGTATCGCTACGGTCGGTCGAGCGAAAAACGGACAAATCTAAAATCAACCGGTAAAATGCAGTTAGGCCTCCTTTTAATCACTTGATATCCCACTTAATATTTTGTTTATCACTCGATATCCCTCATAATTCGTTCAGATCCTTTTAAAAATAAATCTTAAAATATTTTTAAAAATCAACCATTTAAGATTGTAATTCAAATTTTTGATTTAAAGATGAAATTTCCATGTTATTAAATGCCAAGGGTGTAAGAGAATTAAATATATTTAAAGGCTCATAAACAAATTGGGAACCAGAATTTTCTTGCTAAAATTAATATATAAATTTGAGTAAAATTCCTTAAAAACCTCTGCACTATCCAAAATTTCGCTAAAATCTTCAATTCTTTCATTATCCTTCTTAACTGATTTTCCAAAGGCATCTACTTTTTCTTCCAATAATTTAATTTGTGCATGTATTAGCTTTAAATAAATGAAATAATATATATTATCAAAATGTACGGTTCATCACAGAAAGGAATCAGAATTTTTGTCAAATTGATCAAAACAATAATTTGATACAAAATTTAGCAATTAAATTTTTAAATAAAGGCATTTTGGAACCTTATCTATCCTAGAGTTTTTATTGATAAGTCGAGAATTCCTAGTATTCGTTATCTTTTAGTGTATTTTTATGTCCACAGAGACATTAAGAAGCAGTGTTGGGTATGGCTCCGGCGGAGCCGGAGCTAAGATTTTGAAACCCCGGAGCCAATAAATGGCAAATACCCAGCACTGTTAAGAAGTTGCCTTTTTAATATGTTAAAGGGGATTTAGAGATCAGCTGAAAGGGTAATCAACTTAAATCAATCGAAATTTACATAAACATTTAATAAAAAATCAAAAATTATCATAGATTAAAGAGAAATTTTGTTTTCTAAAATTTAGAAATTGTATGAATTAAAAAATGAAATAATATAAGTAAAATAATTCATGCGGAGGCACTTATACATACTTTCTTCGAACATTTTTGGCATTCAATTAGAGAGAAGAGGGATGGGCGAAGTTTTAAATATTTTCCTAAATTCCCTCCATCAATAAACAAATTAATTTTTGAATAAAATATGGGAAAAATGAAGGGGAAATATTTTTATTTAAAATATAATGTGGCAATTTCAGTTGATCCACTTATAAAAGAAATAAGACGGTTTTTTCTTGCTACCCAAGTTTTCAAGCTTTTCCCACATTTCAAATTAAACAATACATATCAAAGGCAAATAAAAAAATGTTGTGGAATTTCCCGTGCTTATAATTTTTCACCGATTTATTAAGTATATTAGAAATTTTTATTTCTTTTTTGAAAATTTGGGAATTTTCAGAAAATTTTCACCATATCTGGCGACGCAGTCTTCCACGCTGAAAACGGAATAAATCTAGCTTTTTGATTTTACAAATTTCGCAAAATTTCCGCTTACGGAGCGCATAAATATTATTATGACGCGAAAAAAGTAAAAAGTATGGGGGACATCGGAGATCTAATGGGTTAAGGTGGATTTTGGGTAATATATGGGGTAATTAAACGAGGGATTATGATGTTAACTAAGATCAGGTTGAGCGCATTGCGTTTTTTGAGATTGTTGCTTGCGCTACCACTGAGTGCGATATTTGAGGATTTGGTGTCTCCCAACCGCCGCTTAACCTTTTGAAATAATTCAAAAAAATAGCGGAAGCCAACTCTGTTTACTATACATATCAAGGGATTTGGAAAGGCTGTCGGTCGTTAGAGGCTGGAGAAAAATGTCAACACGATCTGGAGAAGAGCTTCCGCAATTGCGGATTTTTGGAATTTTAGGATTTTTATGGAATTTTGTGGAATTTTAGGATTTTTATGCAATTTTCACGCAATTGTTCTTGCGTAAACTGCGGATTGCGTAAAATTGCGTAAACTGCGGATTGCGTAAAATTGCGTTTTTTCGGCTTTTGGACTGCGAATTTCGACTGCGATTTTAAAAATAAAAATAGTGGCTGCGGATTGCGGCTGTGGAAAATTTTTTTCGATTGAGCTCTGGAGTTAAGTCTACCGCAATCTATTTATTGTTTGCACTTCAATGTATTATTTTTTGCTTATCGAAGACACTTTTTATCGGTTTTATTCTTAACTAATAAAAATAAACTAAAAAGAACTTCCTTTTAGAATTTTTAAAAATACATAAGTATAATGAATAAATAAAAAATCAAATTATGCATGAATTTAAAAAATTTTTAAATGTAAATTTTATTGCAAGAATTTGACTTAAGAAAATGTAAAATATGTATGTATGAATGACTTACATCTTAAATTAGTATAAAAAATATAATAAATAGATACCCTGAGAATACATACAACTTGAAAAATAACTTGTTATTGATAAAGTATCCTAAATATCCCTTATTTAATATATGTATATCATGGCTGGATTAGCTTCTACTTCCGCAGAATTCCGCTTTTTTGACCCTTCCGCTTTCGTATATTTGGCTTCACTGGGATTACACCCCTAATGACAACCATTATATGTAAAGAAAGTAGGTAATTTGGTAGTTCAAAAAATATCTGGGATACCAGAAATGGAAGAGGCTTTCCGTCTACTGCTTTTTTATTCTATTAAGCTTCTCCAGATTAAGTCTCCGCTTTTTAAAATTCAAAATTATCCAACCCTGATATATGTATATACTATGTGCATTAAAAAATAAATTTATTTAAGACCATAACGTATTTAAGATCATAACGTTAAAAATATTATACATCATTCTGTAATGTGTGCGCATTTGCCATACGAAAAACAAACATGCTTGTCTTTAAATAATTATATTTATGTTAATATAATTATTTAATTACCATAATTATTTTGTATCAAAAATCCATCTTCATTGTCCGTACGAAGGTGTTTGACCATAACTACATTGTCAGTACACAGGCAAATTTGTACATAGGAACCAGGAAAGGATGACTCTAATGAAATAACAATCTCAACTAACTTTGTTGTTTTAAAGCGACGAAGCTTAAAAAAATAATTTGAAGAAAAGAATATATTAAAAACTTTAAAATCCGGCGCAGTTATTTCTAAGAATTCCTCATTAGTAATTTTTGAAGTTGTTTCAGTATTGAGCTAAAAAATAAATAAGAAATACTAAATATTTAAACGAAGAATAAGCTTTAATCAAGACAATTTATTGTCAATACTAGACAAAAAACAAGACAACCAAGAACCTAGGCTGTAGTGTAATTACCGGTGGTCAACTGTAACTTACACAACGGGTTCTTTCAAGGAGCTATTGTATAACTCGGTCCAGATTAAATTCCCAAAGTATTGATGGTATCATTCGACTCAGATCGTCGAGACGAATCAAAAGAAATATGTCAAATCCT